TACGTATCAACAAAAAATTATAACTCGAATTGTACGCTAAAAAATTTACAAAAAAAAACATACCGACAACCAAGATCGAGATAAAACCTTAAAGGATTCAATGTCAGTGCAATTGTTATAAAGCACAAGTTGAACCGGTGTCGTTTTCGTTGAATTTTTCCCTACAACTTCCTTACAAACATTATAAGATTCAAAAGTTATAGCGGCTCGTAGTTATCTGCGAGCATATATTCACATTTGTACATTAATTAAGCTCTCTATACTCCTCCCATGCATCCCTTACAGTCCCAAAAATAAGATTAGCTACGCATCCCACGTCTTCTAATAAGTCACATTTTGTCCTGCTCGGCGTCGCATAATGCGTTCCGAGCTGCCATATTAAATGATTTCGTCTATACTGTTAGGATTAGGATTTTAGGAAAATCCGAAAATGTGGCAGTGTATTGACCCAACACTAGCCTTACTAAGATGTCGACGTTTTTGTCCCCTCACTATTCATTCTGACATTGAACTTTGTAACGAAAGCACATCATTCGCGCCAAAACATTCTAACTAATAATGTCTAAAATACCTAATTTATCGTCGTACGCGTGTGCCGTACTAGCGAGCGGCAGTTAAATTTGGCAGATACTATACAAGTACGTAGATCGAAGCGTCTCGATCACCTTGGGACGGCATTCCGAACTCCGTAACACATTATTACTCAGAGTAACGCCTACTTTGCCAACGCAAACAATGAGATCAGTAATCAATCGTACAACTTGATCGAAAAACAAAGCTATAAAAGGACACAAGGTACATCTTACGCTTTTATAGATAATCTGACCTTACATAAATTGATTTATCAATGTATTAAAAGCTATATTAGAATCCTTTGGCGCGAATGACATGCTTTCGTTACAAAGTCCAGTGTAAGAATTAATAGTGAGGGGACTTAAACGTCGACATTCTAGTAAGGCTAGTGTTGTGCCAATACACCGACACAGTGTCGGATTTTCTTCCTAACAGTTCGTTATAATAAATAATATTTCTCAAACGAGCAAAGATTAGTTGGAAGACCGTGGCAAAGTAGACCGAAATGGAAAAAGTTGCTGGACCAAAGTCCCACAAAGTATGTAGAGCTAAAAGACGAAAAAGTGGGCAACAAGCAACATAAAATAGTGTATGGATTATAAAACACAATCATATAAAAGACATCGCATATATTTTACAGCTATCGTAACTTAGGAATGTTGCAGATGAAACTTGTTTGTTTTCTCTGAGTAAATTACTACGTCAAGATCGATACTTTCTAACTTTTCTCATAAAAAAACTGGTTATGCCTACAAATTTGCAGAGGAAACTCATGGTTAGTCAGAATGGAAGTAAAAACATTACGAGATTTTTATTTGAAAATATAAAAAAACAAAGGCACATCACTATGAAGATATGTGTCGTTACAATATTAACAATTTACAAGAAACGTTACAAATGGATTTAAGATTGGATCTTAATTTATGTTTTCTAATTCGACCTTCAGCGTCACAATTCAAACCAATAATAAAATAAAATCAATTTTATCTATATTGTTAAGTTTACAACAATCTCAAATCAAATAAATACTTGAAAGCGACTAAATAACCTTTAAACTTTAAAGTTACTAAGCCTTACTAATAAGGACCGATGATACACCATCATTTATTCCTACGCAGTGACCATTATGCGTGAGGAAAATTCCGATTGGATTGTGTAATACATAATCAATTCAGAGAAGTTCTTATGTAAAAATACTGGCAACAAACAAATACATTTTTTATCGAAAATTTTTAGGTTATGTCATTACGTGAACATTTAAATTTGAATAAAAGATATTAAAAAAAAATTCAAGAGACGCGATAAAAACAGTAAAAAATCAATAAAATTGTACCCAACAAAAAATGAGACTATTTTTTAAATCAAACCAAAGTTGACTTTAGTTTGTAAGCATTAAGCGATAAGAAAATTAATGTGGTAAAGTTTACGTATTTACTCATGTTATTTGCTAATTGACTATCATAATAGTTTATCTAAAAATAATTACATTTGTAAAGCTTTTAAAATTACAATTGACCTTAAGCAATACCAAGAAATCGCCATAGACCATGGCCTATATTAACGGACCAAACAAATTATCATTCATACATGTACGTTCATTTATTTATATGTGGATTGTAATCAAACTCATTACAAAATAATTCAATTTATTAGTACTACAAAAAACGTAATGCCAACACTGAAATTAGTAATTGTTAGAAATCTAATAATTCCATACTCAAAGTTGTTAAATGGTAACTTTAGTATAAGAAATCCATACTAAGGAACTCCATCAGTCACTTAACACTTGATTGCGGAAGTAAGATATATTATTTGCTTTTTAAAATAAATGACATAAAAAATAACATTATTATGGAAAGTAATATATGTAAATCGAGATGATTAATTTTCAAAATATCTCAATGTACAGTTACTTAACTGTTACATAATATTTACTTAAGTTAGGAATACAATAATATGCGTGATAATAAAAATAGCATATGGAAATTTGGAAGCTTGTTAAAATTTATTGATGTCATTTACCTCAACATATAATAGTTTTATCAATTGAAAATATATTTATTACGAGAATTTTATATATAAAATTACGAAATACGTGATTAATGTAACTAAAATTTGTGGTATTCAATTTATATTTATGAATATATATTGATGTTGCGTAATTAAAAATAACGATCGAAAAAATTGTCTTTGGTTAAGATGAATTTTGAAACGATTGTATCAACCAAATTGTAGAGACACTTTTACACAGTAACACGATTAAAAGAACATTAATTTTAATAATATGTAGTTTTTCTTAATATGAGTACTATAGGAAATGGAAAATTTTAATACTAATATTATATTATAATATAAATGAATAAGTTTGAACGACTGCACGGATCTCTTTGAAATTTGGAGATGTAGAACATAAACGACATCTGGAAGAACACATAGACTAAGTTTTTTTTTAATTGCGTACGGACGGAGTCGCGGGCTATAGTAAAAAGTATAAAAGTAATAAACTAGCCAGTGATTTTCTACGTCTCTTCGGTTCCTTGATCACTATAATTGTTTTTTGTAAGTTAAAATTCACAATAATATTAATATTGTGTATGGCAACATCTTGATTACAAAAATTGAAAGCAGATGTGTTAGCCAATTGAGGATTGCCAAATCGAAGTAAAGATGGACGCGAGAAGTCAGGAGTTCAGGGGTAACTTTACGGCAATCTTTGTAGTGCTAATAGAAATTCAGATCATCGCTAAACTTGTTTTGAAATAAAACTGGTTTTTTATTTGAGTATGCATTTTATTTAAACTGGTATTTTTATGAGAAAATTCCCAACAATGACAGTTTTAGGTTAGACTTATAAAGTCTTAGCTTAATTTCATTTGTAATTTTTAAATTACATACAGATATATATTGAAAAATAAAAGTTCAAATAATTGTTTTGTTTTATTATTCCTTTAATTTTACTTTTATTATGTAAAATATGCCAATATTTTTGGAGTTAAAAGATATTTATATTTCGCACTCATTCTATTTATTGAAATTACCATTGAAATTGTCAAATGTATTAGTGAATTGTTCAAAATTGACGTAATTTGCATTTACATGTCAAACGGACTTAGTAAAACTTAATGGTCTATGCTAATTTTACTGCAAAACAAAACTCTGACACAGATTGCATACGGAATTCTTCGTGATTATAGGATATAAACATAATTACAGATTGTATCAGCTATCTTCTAAATAGATTAAAAAGTATTTTCATAGCTACAACAAATGTCTGGAAGGAAATTTAAAGAAAAATTTGTTTATAATCGTAAAATTCTACCGAAAATGTTGTCTCTGTTTCGTCAAAGGGAATTATAAAAACCGCAATATGTTTTAATACAAGTATTCTGACAATGGAAACGTATAACATAACTATAAAATATAAGCATTTGATTCGAGAGGTGAGCGGCGGAGAAGCGCTGCATTCACTTTCAGTCTTCCGCACTCGAATAAATTACAGTATACGTAAAACAACACAGATAACCATCATTACTGCCTAAGTACTAAACTGTATTAATATAAAACCATCAAAAACAGCAATGTATGTTGAAGTAAAACTGTATGTAAAAGTTACATGTCATTGTCGTTTGTCTTAACCTCCTACATGGTACCAAAAGTAATCAAATATTAAAATAAAAATCACGTGAATAAAATAAATATATTTGAATCACGTAGTTGTGCACATATAAAATCTTATTACGTCAGAATAATGTAATATTGTACATATAAAAAACGAATCCGCAAAGTCATTAATACAACTGCGCAGTTGTTTCAACGCTTGTAATTTAACCACGATCTTAACCGCAGTCTCACGTTCTAACTTAACGATGAACTGTATATAAATTGACCACAATATGTTATTTATATCGCTAAAGTAATAATATTTTCAATGACCTTGTTTTAGTTATAATATAGTTAATCGTAGTTAATCTTAAATTTTATTAGAATACAAAATGTAGTTTAAAAAATCCCCAGATAATATTGAATTGCTTGAATTGTCTTGCTATGGCTTGTAAAAGGTAATAAAACTACATAACAATGTTAATATCAAGTCTAATTGTAATTATGAAGAAAAAGAAGCAAAGAAAACATCGATAGAATTTTCCACGCATCACCTACTGAGAAAATAAAAAAGAAACTGATTATTCTTTTACCTCAGAGTAGTCATCTTATTGTATTTAAGTGTATATATGAATCGTTGTATATATGATAAGATTATATTTTTTTTATTTAATATATTTAAGTTTAAATTATAAGTTTATTAAGGTTCTCATAAAAGTTGAGATAAAGTTATTGTCATATTCAAAGTACAAAAAACTGTCTATATGTTAATTTAAATGGAAAATCTATATAAAAATAAAACTAACCGGTTGTTTGTTTGTCCACAGGTTCCACGAACAAACTTCCTCCGTCGCACCAAGCCCACCACGGTCCCCATCACCACGGATTCCAACACCGCGGCACCGGAAAACGTCGAAACAACCACAAACAAATACACGAGGCGGGGCAACTCCAGGTTCAAGTCACGAAAAGATGCCGCCGAAATTGTACCGCAAATCGAGAAAACGCGGGAAAGCAACGATACTGACGTACGAACACGGCGGCCATTTTCCAACAGTGACCGACCGACGCCGCGCAATTTTGCCGCGCGAAGACGCTTTGGTGGGGCGAACTGTGAGTCCGGTTTTATTTGCAACGCAACCAGCTACACCACTTTCAAATACTGCATGCCTTTTTAGCTTTTAACACCTTGATATACAATCTATATCTGCGTTCATGTTTTATTAATTATTGAACAAGCTGGGTGGGTCTGGGTTCATAGATCTGTATAGGTCTCGTAATTGTGGCCTGTAGGCTTATATACGAACTTTACTATGGAAAGCTGCGTCGTAGTTGACTACAATAACTAGATAAACATTTAAACAAAACAATCTCATTGATAAAAAATACTACAAAAGTATCCGAGTGTTTGGAATATTTAAACCAAAACAATGAATATGTTGTTATAATACTAGTACAATGCAATGAGGAAATAAATTTATTTTCAATTGAATTTATAATAACAAACCAAAGACCGTGACGATGTAAACAAATACTTGATTATAGCAAGTCACTGTTGAGGTTATATAGTAAACTTTTTGTTTTTAAGTTCTTAGTCCCATTGAAAAATCTACTAAACTTCTAGTCAGTTTAAAAATTAATAAAAAAAAATGGAACCTGCAAACAAAACCTTTAGATCAAAAAAAAATGTCAAAATGCACCAGGGGCAGAGTTAGGCGGTAAAACACATAAAAACAAACATACAGACATAACCTCCTTTTTTTTAAGTCGGCTAAAAAGAGTGAAACTTATACAAGGATGCGAGGGTTAAATAGTTTTAAGATTGTTTTTTTTAATTTAATTTACATTTCACTTTGATTTAATTTACTTGACATTCATAATTTATTTTTCATATGTATATATGTCGAAGAAATATAGAAATAATTTCATAATACTTTGTAAATATCCATATTAATATCTAAGAAGAGAGAAATAAGATAATTAATATTAATAAATTCAGAATCTATTAACGATCAAAACGAATTCAAGGTTAGATTTTCGCTATCAAAACGTGTTAGACATCACGTTTGTTTTAAGCTTTATTTAAAAAGTTTGTATACTTGTGAGTTGGAATAGATTAGAAATAAATTGGTAAACTTCAATTAGTAAGATATTGTTTAATAGCTACTTAATAGGGAATAATATGAAATGAGTGACTCAACTTAAAGTCTTATTTTAGTCATGTTTCCCTTCGTTTTCTTAAGTAAATGATAGGAAGGTAAAATGGATTTAATGGTGGAGGGGGTCATAAGATTACTCTTCCTGTGCGTCTCCTCCGTCGATTGAAGGTAGGCAACGCATCTGTAATTGCGGATGTCTATAAACAGCAGTCACTTCGCCATTTTTGCGAATTCAATTAGCCACTTATTCATTTACCACCTTATAATATATTATAAAAAAAACCTTCAGCCATTAATGCTTCAGGAGATAACAATGTCAATATATACATCCAAAAAGTATTACCCGCATATTACGCGTTTTTTACTAAATATTCTCGATGTTGGCATCAAATGACCTTGAGTACATATTACACGCATGAAATTTTAGTGTCAGGTTTAGTTTATAACATAAGTTCTTTGTACTTAAACTTTAAATACCCGTAGCATCACAGACCTCTGCCGAGGCCGACAACATCTAGTTTTATCAATGACATGCTAATAGTACCAGTCCCACGTCTCTCATACGCACGACCAGTTTTCTGAAGCTTTCTCTGTTAAATATGAAATAGAAGACGTCTTATGAATATTAATAACTTTAGTACCACTTCATGTTCGTTATTATCACCCTTTGTTGATATAACTCTTGTCTTATTTCGCAACTGAGAGAACCGGACTTAGCCAAAAATACCGTGAGACACCTCGAAAAAAATCAACTTTGAGAATCTCTTTCTTTTTTTAATATTTCTGCCTGCCTGAGCGTCGGTGGCTCAGGGGGACTTCACTTGCAATCTGCAGGTCCTGGGTTCGAATCCCGCCATGTACCAATGTGTTTTTCGATTTTCCGATTTACATATGTACATTTATCCCACGTTCTTACGGTGAAGGAAAACATCGTGATGTAACCTGCACATGTCTGAGAAGAAATTCAAAGATATGTGTGAAGTCAACCAACCTGCACTTGGCCAGCGTGGTTGACTATGGCCTGATCACCCTTAACCTAGGGTAGGCTCCGAGCCCCTCGGTGGGGACCTACAGTGAGCTGATGATGATGAATATTTCTGCCGTGCCAGCGTCGTCAGAGGCACTACCAACTTGCCAGATATTCAAGAAAAAGTGTTTGATTGTAAAAATTCCCTAACCAAAAAATGATAGCGGTTCAACTATGTTACTTCTCGTCTATAATTACGAGGAATGTACGGCCCTGTTTTGATAAGGCGGTACATTCTGACGAGAATAATGAAATGAACTTTCTTTTGAATTAGTGGTGACGAATATCGATGACATTGTATAATAATAAGTAACACTTTAAATAATGATCCTTGCAATGACTTTCAGCTCACACTTTCACTTTTAATTTCACATCGAAGCCAAAGTCATTAAACGAAATCAATACAAATATTAGTTATAATATCAAGGTTGGAAAATAAATGAAAAAAATATTGAAAAACATTAGCTTTGTTGTTGCAAAACGACTTAACAAAGTCAGCACAAAAACTAAAGATGGAATTGTTCTTACAAGTAACAATTGTCTGGTCAACGCTAGATCTTTTTTTTTCATAGATGTATTTTTCTTCTTTGAGTAACATTTTTAAATCTTATTTTCTATAATCCAAGTAACGTTATTGCGTATGATAGAAAATTCACACTCGGAGTTATACGCTTTTCACGAATCGTTCATTTTACTGTAAAATGTCATGCTCAATTAGCTGTTAAATATTTTATAGCATAACTTTTATGTAACTTAAATATTATTGTTATTAGGCTGAACATATTAGTATCGCACTCACTTATGTAAGTTACGCATAACGCGTTCAGTATCGCGTGTTAACAGTTAACTGTTGTATAAGAAATTGGTCACAAAGACCTCGAATTTTCATACTCATATTCAGTGCTCATCCATGTTTTTTATACTATAAGTTGGCAAACAACTAAGCTACTACCTGAATTTGCCTAAATCTCGAAGTAAGCATTGCGTAAAGACATCCGCATTTGCAGATTAATTAACAGAGGCGACGGGTAAAAAGAAGATATTTTCTTGGCGTTTCCTCCTCCACAAAATCCATCTTATCTTCCCATCCCTTTTTTTATTAAACCTTGGGAAGGGGAAGAGGACTAAAAGTAGGTCTCGGGCATGTATACAACCAAAGAATAATATTAGAGAAACTATTATGCCAGATTTGGTCCATGATGACTTCCCGTGTAAAATTTCGTCAGAAAAGTTTTTAAATAATATTCATGAATGCCACAATATCGGTTATAGATATATTTCTCACGTGAACGCGTCGCCTACAATCATATATTGGCGTTATTGCAATATCTCTGTTGCGTTACACAGCCAATTTCACAGATCTTTACCTCTGAATATACTCCGCCATTTTGAACTGCCATTATCACGCGCGATTACACATGAATCGAATATTTCTTAGTTATTATCTAAGATTACTATAAAATAAACTCGGGAAAGAGACTCTTAATAAATAGTTTAATATTTTAAATTGATGCCCTATTTTTTTCAGCGTTTCTCGAAAGTCTTACGTAAATTCATGTTTGTGATTTTTACAATTAAATAGTTATTAACAAAAAGTCAACCCTAGCATCGTGATACTTTAGTTCTTTTTTTTAATTCAGCCAGTATTCATTTGTGAGATAACAAACAACACAAAGATTAAAGCAACACAATGTTGCCATAAAATAATTACATAATTACCGCGGAACTGTCCTCCTTGGAAAATAATAAAAAAAATCGTCCAAATCGCGCACGCGTTTGTGAAACGTTTAAATACCAAACAATAGTGTTGTATAACAATTGAATTATAATATATTACGATGCAACCGTGATGAAACCTTTTGTAGTACTACTGCCGCCCTCTATTTATTTTTGTTTTATTGTATCTATGGCTGTACCATAGACGTAATAAAAGAATTTTTATTCAATCTATGGGCATAAAACAGTCTTTGATTTGTTTTTATTTGGCCTACTTTATATTTAATTACGTTACTTAAAAAGGTTTTTAACATATAGTATTTGTAAGTATACCACAATATCTCATCTATTTTAATACAACCGACTAACAGCATTTATCACGATATCGTATTTCACGGCCGGAACATTTGTAAAATACTCGCTAAATACTGAAACAATAGCATCATTTGCCGCTCCGTCAATTATCGCCGTATTGTTGGGTAACATTCGTCTGGCAACACTGATCAACATAAACACTGGCTGGTAAAATTAACCTAAGGATATGACACCGTAAACTATTACTAAAAGTAATTCACAAACTTCAGCTACGCATTAAAAATAAACACATCTGTGTTTTCTTCAGTGACAATTTAAAAAAAATTGTTTTACGACGAAACAATAGTGCTATTCATAACATTGAAAAGATAAAAAGACACGAGAGAAATTACCGCTTACTTTCTTTATGAATAAACAATTTGTTGTGGCTTTACGTCAACTTCACGGCTGTTAACCCAAACAATAAAATACAAGTTCTTAGTGGGCTTAGTAATTGACGCCCGTAAAACAACGTGAAATGGGTAAAAATAAGTAGCGTTAAAAAAATATATGTCACGCTTCGTATCGTGATGTTAAAATCGATAAGATTTTCTATGCATAACGAAGACTTCTTAATCAAATAGTGTCAATAAAAGTTTAAGAAAAGATAAAGGAATTTCCGCTATACCACTTTAGAAAACAACCACTAGCAAGTTATTGGAATTTATTTAGATAAATCTAATGACCTTGAAAATCAAATAAAGAATGTAATGTAATTACAATAATTTGAATTGAAATAAAACTACATTCGGCATAAGTTTCGGTCATTATCTAACATTACATAAATGATGAAAGTCTGCTTGTCCGTCTGTCGGTCACGGGCTAGTGGCGGCTTTCTCTGCATCTCTCCGCTCCGTCGCCTCCCTGCGACCGTCAGTGATGCCTTACTAACTCCAGGTTGACTTAGTAATGAGTAGTGAGCATTTTTATAGTTTTCAAAACACGCACATGTAAATTGAATAACATTTCAGTATTATGACGTTGTCCTTCCTTTTTATTCTTGGAGATAAGTGTGAAAAGATTTCAGCGTTCGAATAACATGACTACTAACTAAATATGATATCACCTAATACCACAGAATAGTGAACAAGTGTTAATTTTCTAGAAAAAGCTTTTCTTACGGTGGATTTCTAAAACCAAAATCTCCGTTTTAAACATAGTTATCTCTGTTTTATCCAAGATAATCAATAGGATGTCGATATTTTTAAATAGAGAACTAGTTCTCAGAAACTAATGGTTGCTTCCTATTCGGTACACTTGTTATTCGAAACGTCATTCTTAATCTAGACGTAGTGTCATTATTGCAGTAAATAGAGTCGTGGGAAAGCGACCTATTTCCTAACGTAATAGGCCCTATAATTGCTTGCGACACATGCTTTTGTCACGGCTGCCGTTTTTCTTTGAGAAGTTACCGTTGCAACATTGAACACATTGGTATAGTTAGTCGTTAGAAATATGCGACAATAATCTCAGTAACTTTCTTTGTTATTTCATTTCAGTTGAAAAATATCTAGTTCATGCTTAGATATAAGTTCACAGACAACCTTGTCTATGAACATTTACTTGCCAAGGAATTAATAATCATGATACTACGATCTGTTGGTTTTTCGACTATTTTTTGTCCATAGGCTGACAAAATAAACAACTTACGATCCTATCGTTTACAAATTACGACGAATTGTATTTATTCATTTATTCTATTTATTTAAAAAAAAATGAAAACAAGCGAAGTAACATCTGTTTCCTGTTAACTCTGTATATAAGGAAAGATCTTTAAACTATGCAGTGATCTCTCTCATAACTAGTCGGCTTAAAAGGCTTAGAGACGCCTTGTGTCGCCTTTTATGATAACTTTCTTCGACGATTTCACCAACGTATAAGTACATAAATACTTTATTGATTTACTGTTGAATTCTTGCTTATGAACATTACACGTATTTAACCAAAAAATACATTTTAAGTGAAAAACAATTGAAATACGAGGATATTGTTCGCGACGTTAAAAAAAAATAGTAGAGTTTATAAATATATTGATTGTTTTATTGACACATTGGCACTAACAATTGAACCGGAGCAAATGCACAAGTGTAGCATTACTGACATAGTTTTTATGTAAATACCAGACTCTGACTCATTCTATACTTCCTAGTGGTGCACCTTGACAATTATAGTTCGCAATTATGAATATTTACGCGCTAGTAAATGTTCTAACATATTTATTATTTACATAACGAAGTATGGATATACATTTTAAAATATATTTGTAATTGAATACGTTTGATACATTTTATTAGACTATTAAAATGAATATATATAGAGCGTCGGTGGCTCAGTGGTCAAGCACTTGACTTGCAATCTGCAGGTCCTGGGATCGAATCCCGCCATGTACAATGTGTTTTTCGATTTCCGATTTACATATGTACATTTATCCGACGTTCTTACGGTGAAGGAAAACATCGTGATGCAACCTGCACATATCTGAGAAGAAATTCAATGATATGTGTTAAGTCAACCAAACCGCACTTGTGGTTGATTATGGCCTAATCACCCCTAATATAGGGTAGGTTCCGAGCCCTTCGGTGGGGACGTGTAGTGAGCTGATGATGAGTTAAAATGAATTATAAATCTTTAGCAGAATTAGACGATAAGATTATAGAACGATTTATGATTGTTATAAAGCATATATCGTAAACAATTATCAAGAAATTAACATTATTTTTGGTCATGATACTTCAATTTTTAAAAGACATTAATTTTTTTTCTAATAATTAACGCTTCGTTTACTTACAGCAACGAGCAGAACAGCGTCAGTATCCTCGACGACAACTGCGTCTATCTCTCGGCGTCCGTTCCGCGTGGCAAGCCGGCGACGACCTGCTGTCACCACCAAGCTCACCACAACTACCACTACCACACAGGCTACTACCACCACAAACGTCCTGGACAGCGATGAATATCTACAGGATATAGAAGAAGCCGGTGAGAATTACTACATTACAATTAAAGCCATCCCACGGGAAGGAAAAGTCTTTGTTTGTTGTTTTTGTAAAACCTAAATTACCCTATATTTGTTCTTTAACAGATTCCATTGAAGATCCAACAATAACTACACGCTCTGGACCGAAAAAGATTCCGAAAATACAAAGACGTCCCCTAGTTAATCTGAAAGAAGAAGATGATCAGAATCCGTCCGCTACAAATGAGGAAGAGAAGAAAAGACAGAGCAAGAAATACAGCTCTACATTCAAACAAAACCAATTGGATGCAGCTTTAAAACTTAAAAATCAAGACGCCTTCGATGAGGATGTAGATGCAACTACTGAAGGGAAATTTACAGAAAGTAAGTATAAACTTGGTCTTGTACCTTATCTTTTACAAAATAAAGCTTAAAATAACTGTGTATGTCCTATCTACCTAAATTTTGTTATGCGACAAGTTACCCAAGCATTTCTTTTCTTCCACAGGCTTTAGTGCTGAAACGGCTGTAGCACTTGCAGCCCACAAGCTCTTAGAAGCACCTGTCCCAATAATATCTGACTATGAATATGATGTCAAACCTACTAGAAGTCCACCAACAAGGAATACCCAGAAGTTCAAATACCCAACAACAGAATATACACCAGAAATCACAAAAACACCATCCTACCCCTTATCATACTCTACTACTCCTGGTTACAGTACTGAAACTCAAGACTACGTCCAAACTTCCACTGGTTTGTACTCCGGTGATATTCTAGAAACTGTTCTACCTTCGACAGGTGGATACAGAGGATCTAAGCCAACTGGATTTACATCTCCTACTATCATTAACCCTGGTCTATCGGGTGTTTCTCGCAACTTAGGTCCATCCACCGTTAGGTACTTGAGTACAACAGAACAAAACATACCAACACAAGAAATTAATCCAACGGCCGGTAGATATACTGATACTAGTGAAAAGTACTCAAAATCTCCATCACGACTTCAAGACTTAACAACTGTTTACAATTACTCTGCGATTTCATACGATTTAAGTCCAGGCGATAAATATGTTAACACAGGAGAGTCCTTACAAACTGTAACTCCAACTGGTAGATCTCGAGGTAGAAGACCTACTACTATTAGTGGAATAGAGCAGTATACCGGTACCTCACAAACACTTCCGCCCACAAATGACTTCGGTATAAGCAAGAAATACTCAGAAATTTCTAGACCCACTACTACAGCAAACAAATACTTGGATGAAAGATTTACTGGTATATCAGAAGATCCATTTGAAACAAGTAAATATTTAGATACAAGCGACAAGTACACTGATTCCTATCAAACAGCAGGACCGTCAACTATCGATTATTCAGATTCAAACAGATATACAGGACCATCCCAATACTTGAATCCTAGGTTTACAGTAACTGGAGAAAAATACACAAATGTTGCCACAAACCCGTCGACCCCGACGTACTTAACAGAAGAAAATACAAGAGTATCTCAGGAACCAACGCCTACTCTTGGTTACACGGGAACAACTGACTATTCAGAAGTTCCAGCTAATACAAGAATACCAAGCAGATTTACTAACAGAGGCGGAAGTTACACGACAATACAAAATCTGAATCCCACAACCAATTATCCAGAAACAACTGACAGATATTCGTCTATTTCACGTAGAAGAAAACCATCGACCACAACTGTAAGCGATAGTGAGAAGTATACAACAGTCACATTACAAACTGCTAATCCAACAACATCGAATGAAAGATACACAGAAGCTTCGAGAAGGAGACGGCCATCTACAAACGCCTACACTGAGACAGACAAGTACACAACCGGGACTGTACAAAATGTTAATCCAACTGAAGTCGTTATAAGTACAACTGAAAAACCAGTACAGTCACGAAGAAGAAGACCGAGCACAAACAGCTACACAAGTAGTGAACAGTATACAACAGAAACTACAACCACATTTGGATTTACGGGCACGAGCGAAAGATACACAAGTGTACCTCGCAGAACCAGGCCATCAACTTCCAAGTACTTTGATACTGTCACAGAGGAAGCGTCATCAGAATTCCAAACTGCAGGACCGACTACCGGATTCACTGGAATTAATGAAAGATTAACCGAATCATCACCAAGAGTAAGACCATCTACAGATAGCTACATCGAGACATCTGATAAGTCTACCGACTCACCTCAGATTGAAACGTATACAGTAAATAATAAGAAATATTCTGATATTTCACGCAGTAGAAATCCATCTACTAGCTACTTTGAATCAACAGAAAAAAGTCCATTGAGCAGTAGTACGGAATTATCAGAAGACAAAGTGTCCACAGGTCGTTATTTGAATCCCAATGGTCAGTACACTGGTTTCATTCAAGATGTAAATCCGTCTACTGTAAAATACGTGAGCACAGAAGAGAAATCACAGGATACAAGTCCATCTTCAGTTCAATATCCAAGTACGACTGGTAAATACGTGTCGGGACCTATAGATGATTTCGGATTCTCTACTGCTGGGTATAGCCAGAGTCAAGACCCTTCGTACTTCACTAGAGAATATCTCCTAGCATCACCAGTTACTAAGACATATGACGGTACGTACACCACAAATGCCATTTACAATATGTCGTTTAGAAAACAATTAAGTTTAAATTAGTAGTATCTTAGTAGTATGCTTTTCTTTAGGAACACAAATTTTGTTTTTCAGATGAATACCAATACTTATCACCGGTAACAACTACGCAGCCAACAACCACGACTAGAAAATTAGGCAGAAAGAAAACTATATTCCGAAGAATTTCATCGACAGCTCGACCGAGTTCCACCACAACGACAGAAAGGCCTCGAAGGGTCGTATCCAGAAAACCTTTCGAGAAAATACGCAAAGTTCAGAAAGTTAAAGTTCTAAAAGCTTCAAAGAAAGATCAAGAAAAACAATTGGTGGAAGAAGAGAAACCAGTTAATGAAGTAAACACCACTCAGAGGCAGCAAGTGCAGCGGGTACCGGTGAAGGCTGTTGAATCGCCGAAACCAAACAGAGTTAGAAAACCTATAACTTTCGACTACTATGATGATAGTGAAGAGAAAGTAGCACGGAAATACGAAGAGGGAACTAAAGTTATTCTCCATAGTAAAGGTAAGGGGTTGTACATTTTTGGCCATCAATGATCTTAAAACATGAACCCGGTACTTATTTGTGAATAAATTATAATATAAAACATAGTTAATAATATTTAATTTCACAGGTACAATCGAGTGTTTAGATATTGGCAACTTCCCGCATCCATCTTCGTGCAAGAAGTTCATATCGTGCGCTCGTATGGAGAGCGGAGCATTACTGGGCTGGGAGTATGTCTGTCCTAAAGGCCTGTCATTTGACCCCGTTGGCGGCATCTGCAACTGGTCAGCGGGACTGGGCTGTCACGAACAAGACTCATAGACTAAAAAAAGTTCTTCATTAGGGTTTCCAACTTATAAATTTGTGTCAAAAATACCCCAGTCTAAATTATTTAATAATTTCTGATGTTAAATTAGGGAAATCAGTTTGACCAGTTATAAGAAAGATAAGTTCCTTTTTGAAATCTTTTTAATTCAAACAAAAAGATAAAGAGGTTTTCGGAAATTGTGATACTTACTAAATATTTTGTTAGCAAAATTATTTTAAAAAATTACAGTAATTGAAAAATTATTCATAGTAATAAAACTGAGTGACTAAAGATTTTAAAGTAAAGCCTCAGCAATACTCAAATAATTTAAATAAACACTGCCAAGTTATGTAAATATTCGATATTTAAGTACCAATTTTTGTTAACACACTTTTGTATTTTTATATTTAGCAAAAATAATAATCATTACAATTCTGCATATCAAATACTTAGCAATGTATATTTTCTTAGTTTTTATCAATCACTAGTTACACGTGTACTGAATAGGCAAATAAAAATATAGAAAAACAACCTATTTCACAATGTGCCTTAATTATTTTAAAATATTTAGTTTATAAGATTTATTTTATGTAATTAGAAATAAAAATAAAACAATACTCAATATCGTGTTTCAATTACTGCCCAAAGCCAAAACTTAATCAATGTCACTTGTATAAATTTACCACGTTTAGATCTTGAAATAAATTGCATACAAAAAAGACTCTAAAATAATAAGTAACCGTGGGTTTCTGAGACAAAAATCTTCGTTTAAAACATAGTTATCTATTTTGTAAAAAATATGTGTAACTATACATATTACACAGACATTTTAGTCTTAAAACACAGTCTTACTATCGCTACTGTATATTAAAATTACACTAATGGGCTTCCTTAATGTCCACATAACTTCTCTGAGTATCTTAGTACTAGTAAATGTAAACTTAAGTAAGCATTAAGACACAAAATTAATTAACAAATATTTATTACATTGTGCGTTTACTAATATTAACATAACCTATACCGACACATGTCATTTTGACTTTGTTAGCGTCAACTACGTCGTCTTCCTCATCAGAGTCGTCCAGCTCGGAGCGGAGCACTTCTAACTTGAACATCACTCCAAAGAACTCTTTCAGATGCTGCAGGAAACTGATTGTGTAATCTGATAAAGGTCCAACCTGTGATAATGTCAGATAGTTAATTATTAACAAAGAAAATATGAGTCTACCTGGAACATAGGTCACCCTTCGGAGACAGTAACAAACATTTGTAAATTTTTTTGTGGAACAAACTAGATTTCAAATTTTTTAATTCCTGTATTGATATGATACCTATATTAAATGGATAAATTAGAACGGACGCTCTGTACAATTTTAGATTTGATTATTAATTCTGCTATGAATAAGTGTTTTTAATAATTTTTCAAAATAAATAATAAATGGAATGTTATTTAAGGGTTATTTCAGATTGAATGCACCAAGCAGTAACTTTGTTTTGTTTAATATATATTGTTAGCTCTGATTTATCAAAGATAATGACAGGGATAACAATATACAGAGATTTTGGTCTTGGAAACCATTGGTAAGTCAAAGTTAGTAATAATAGTTTGGTATGGAACTTACCACACATTCACTGACATCCTTCTGTCCCAGCGCCATCCAGAGTGCCAAGAGCCACTGGAAGGAGGAATCGACCGCGCCACCTCGATATATCTCGTCTGCAAGCTTCAGTGCACACTGTCTGCCTATCTCCTCCGGCAATGATATCTCTCCACTGCCAACCTCTTCAGATTTCTACGAGTTCAATATAGATTAACACTTACATTCTATGCTACTGATTCATTTGATGTTCAATGCTTGATATTTGCAGTCAGCTCATAAACTTATAAGATATTATGTTTTTCCTTTTTATATTGTTAGGTTACAAATGAGCAAGCAGACACCTATATTCGCCGAAATAGCGAAACGACCGCAGCATAGACATCAGCGATTGCAGATGCGTTGCCTGCCATTAATCAATCGCAGGACGGGACGCACAAAAAAAATATTTTCCCATCTTACGCGTCCTCTGTCAAATCCATCTCCATTACCCATCCTTTGTTTATAATAAAAGAATGGGAAGGGACAGAGGACTAAAATATTCTAGTAAAATGATAAGCCTTAAAAAATTACGATATTTTTAAATTGATGCTAAAACCACATTTTTAATTACAATAAAAACTATTTCGGTAACATGTGTTACATGTTTTTTAAAGTTACAAACACTTACAGCTTCAGCACAATAGAATGTCTTCTCATTGGTCTCAGCAACCAGACTGACACCGAACCCTGGACTCTTTCCAGCATTGGGTCCTCTGCATTGATCTGTATTTATGTAGACATCTGGGAGGAAATTCAGCATTACCTGAAAAAAACGTTATTTATAAAATCGTCATAATGAAGAATTAATTTGAAATTAAACATTCAAGATATTTACCCCTTTTGCGGATTCTACTACTCTATTGGCGAATGTGGGTGAGACACGCAACGCGTACACAACACCTCGTATCCTCTTCACCAGGCCCCATTTAGTCCACTGCAGTGGTCGAAGATGGCGACGTACTGGACATCGAAACACTATTTCACCACCACCGAGGGGTGGAGCACCTGGAAAAAATAAGACCTAATTATTCAGTAGGACTGAGAATCATGCACTTATCAGATGATATGAAATTGTAATAAAAAACCATCTCTTACCTCTCCTGACAACTTTAAGTTCTAATCCGTCATCAACAAGTATAAACTTGAGCAATACAGGCAGTGCTGCCAACTTGACTTTATCCACAGAGACGTCCAGCTCATGATGGGTGACACCTTGCAGTACTGCATTCAACGGCTCCTTGCAGAATGGACCAACAGCTAATAGAACCTCTAGATAATACCCTGGAATAAATTATAGACATATCATAGAAAATGAATATAAAAAAATACTTTAACATATTTTCGTGAAGTAAGAATTAAAAAAATAAAAGTATAACAGGAACTTTTGAAAATATCTTAAGACCTTTACTTATGTTTACTGGCAACAGGCAAGGACAGGTCCAATATCATCCATTGTCTTATAAATACAGTCCTGGTATTAGGGTTAGCGACCACTCGAGGAGCTGGATAGATGGGATCGCTAATAGAACTAAAACCATGTCTGTGTGAATAGAAAAGAAATGAGGAAGACAAGCGGTGGTAGGTGTAGGAATTGATGAAAACTGACAACTAACCTATTCCTCGTTGAGTGCAGCAGCTGTGTGTAACTTGACCTCCAACAAGAATACCAGGCTGAAAGTACATAGATGTACCAGTCTCGCCTAGCTCCACCCTCGTACCATTTGTTATCTTGTCTATAAGACGTATCAAATTCACTTCGTATTCTCTCAGCCCTGGATCATCGTGATTGCTCCGAATATCCTCTATTTTAATAGCTCGCCCACTTAAAACAGAGAGAAGCAACCTCTGACGGAACAAGTTACTGCCTTTGTACACAAGTACATCATCTTTTATTATAGCTGGCATTATATTAGTAAACTTTCATTAAACTAAATTAAAATTATTAAATAATAACGATCGGTATATGTGTTGTGTACAAAGCAAACGCACGTGGTTTACTTGTCTCTTGTCAAAATGACATTTATTGAGTTCAGATTTTCAAAGTTTAAGTTTAAGCAAGTTGAAGGATTTATAAAACGAAAAAACGGAAATAGTTCTTTTAAAATGTATTAAATGTGAATGAAATATTGGAATTACATTTGAACCCCCTCGTTTAAGTCTTTAAGTATTAAAGTATCTTCAATAAGAAAAGAGCAAATCAATGTTTAAATATTTTTGAGGGTAAAGTTTTTGTACATTGGAAATGGAATGTCAATTTAGACTTCAGTCATATGTCAAGTCAGTGTCATAAAATTGACAACTGAAAAATAACCTCCGACTCTGACTCGGTTGTGCACAATATTTATATTCTCATTAACTTTTAATATCATTCGCTGAATTAATGTCCTGAAAACATACAATAACAATGAAAGTTTCTGTTGGAGATGTTGTGTTACCGGGAGATTACTGCGAAGAAATTTCAGCAGCGGGAGAGAAATCAAAAGTTATAGTGGGACCGGGTTTACAGAAAGAAAGTAACCATGTTTATGTGACAAAAGCAGGAGTATTGAAGAAAAAAAATCCAAACACATACTGGGTAGATTACTATCAAAAGAGGTATACACCAGCACGAGGAGAAAATGTTATCGGAATCGTTATACAAAAAGCTGGTGATATATACAGAGTGGACCTTGGTAGTAGCATGTCTGCAGCTTTATCATACCTTTCCTTCGAAGGAGCGACAAAGAAAAACAGACCAAATGTTCAGATCGGTGACGTTGTATATGCAAAAACTCTTGTTGGTAGCAAGGATATGGAACCAGAATTAGTTTGTGTTGATTCCTATGGTAAAAAAGGACGTCTGGGAGTTTTAACTGACGGATTCTTATTTAAGTGTTCGATAAATTTAATTAGAAAGATTTTGAACCCAAGCTGTCCGTTATTGGATTCTTTAAAAAATGAATGGCCATTTGAACTTGCTGCAGGCATGAATGGTAGAATTTGGATAAAAGCAAAAACAATGAGAGAAACTATCGCCTTAGGTAATGCCATACTGGGAGCCGAGTATTTAAGTGATGAAGAAATAAAGGCAATGTGTGCAAACATAGCTAGCATATTAGCAGGACATGTAGCATAATTCTAGTGATTAAATGTATTTCATATTAAAAAAATATATCTTTTTATAAAACAAGCTTATAATTAAGGTGTAGAGTAAATCAACCCAAAACCAAAATATATCCCCAATTTTTAACCAAGACTATGGTGAGTAATGTCTATCTCAGGAAAAGTGCTTTTCTGAAGACCTAGAGTATAACATAATAAACAAACAGGTGTTTTAAGTAATAAATTACATTTCACTGTTCATGTCACATAGATTTTAGTAGCATTTTGGGAAGTTTAAAATAAAACAACATAAACAGTGATCAGAGATTTATTTTGGCAAATGCAACTAACCTATTCACCTTGAAATCTCAATGTAAAACTAGGATCGACCGAGCAATCCACCGCACGAGTTCCCATTGCGATGTTCATGCGTAAAGGCAATATGACACCCGCATGGAACTTCAGAATAAATTATTAATATAATACAATTGAAAAAGCCAAGCCACTTTCACACTATATACATAATACCGTGGCCATCCAACTCCACAACACTTCACAAATTTACAAACTATCAATTAAAAAGGTGTTAACTGACCAGAATACATTTCTATTATTTAATAATAATTTAGTAAATAAGGAAAAAAATGAGCTGTTTATTATTAATTCTAATTTCAAATTTGAAAATAAATTTTATTTTGTTTTTTTTTTTAACTATTTTGATGATTTTTTTTTGATAGTTTATCATGTGAAAGCAGTATAGTTCATAGAATGCAAATTATGTCTTTTTATCTTGTTTTCTCAAAAGCGATATTAAATATTCATTATATAAGGTCTTAAACAGAATAGGAACATGTTCTGTAAAATTAATTTGAGCATGTTTCTATCTCAGTTTAAAAAAAACAATACTGCCTTCAACTGACAATGACTTATGGAGGTAATTAAAAGCCTCTTTAGAAACATAGAAAGTGGTAACTTTCAAAATATTATACAATTTGGTCCTGACACTTCAAAGCCAAAAAAAATGTTTACATGTAGTCAATGATGTTAATTTCCTATCCATTTGAAAATTACATATAACATTCACAGTGGGAATAGGTCAAAAGTTTGTCATAAAGTATAAAATGCGAAATTATAGCTCTGGACATTCAGCTGAATAATTGGATTCTACATGAATAAGCAAATTTTATTCGTTAAATATATTTATTTCATATGAGAAAATGTCATTTAACATATTAAAGTACAGGACCAAAATTATTTATTTTGCAATTTACAGTAACGATATAAAAATTGAAAAAACTTCCTCACGATATACTCAAAAGGAATGTTCTTACATTTTATATACAAAATTCTCAGAACCATCCCAAGGTGTGTTGGGACATAGATAAGTCGACATATCGTCATTATAATATGGTAAAAAATATAATCTCAAAGACAATATTGACTTGGCAAGGCTGAGCCTTTCCCTACCAAAGAGAATGTTGTCTTAGAGAACACTAACTATAATTATAAATTATTTGTTTCAATTGACAATAAAAATTCAATACTTATAATTATTGAATTATTTATGACTATAGTAGAAAATCATGACATGTAAATTGTCTATGCCCCAATACACGAGAAGTATAGTCAAAAGATCTGTAAAACCCCTGTAAGGAATTTAAAGCCATTCCAACTGATTTAAGTCAATTTAAGAGAAATTATTTATATCAACTGTTAATATTAACGCGTCGGGTGCATCGCGTATTGTTAACTATTGTTCTTGTTAAGAAAATTGTCTTTACTATTTTCTATCTTGAACTTGTTACTAATATTCATATTAATAAGTTCCTGACAAATAACCAAGGAGTACTTTTTTATATAGGAGAAGGGGCAAACGAGCAACGAATCGCCTAATGTTATTTGATCCGACGCCCATGGATATCCGCAACGCCAGAGGAACTGCACATGCGTTGCCGTCCTTTAAGGAAGGTGTACGCTCTTTTCATGAAGGCCACTTATCATTTAATATTAATTTCTTTCAATGCTTGATATGGTCATATTTAAAAGGTAATTTATGCAAAAAAACAATTTCGTAAATGCGACAAATATCTTAACATAAAGACAATGGATAAAGTCCTGACAAAGTTGTCACAATTTTTTTTAATCTTTTTTAAATTTACGTAGTTTAAAGGCACATATACTATTGTGTTAATATTAGTGTGTATGTTATCGTTGCTTTATAATCGCGTTTTTTAGCGTGCGTTTTCACTGTCCTAAATACTTTTTTATAAAAGTGTATCGCCAGTGGAAACGAAGTTACTCTTAATGAGATAATGTCGCTGTCATTTTTATAAATAAGGTCATTAGATAAACGTCGAAAAATATGATAGCTCATTTTGTATCTAAGCGCTAAGTTATTATTATTGCTTAAATTGCTATAATTGTGATATCATAAGTATATTAGAGGTATTCTTTGTAAGGCCTATATTTATAACTAGTTTAAGACATTCATTGACATATAATTATATTTTTTAAGCTATCTTTTATTATTCCTAAAAAAAGGAGAAATGATTTAGAATAATTTTATATTCATAATTTCAACACTATTAGCATTTTTCAGCACGCATTGAGTCCGCTAAAGACTGAACAGTCTGACTGAACAGTCGAAATGTTCAGTCTGACTGAACAGTCGAAATGTTCAGTAGAAACTGAATGTATATATATACAGAAGGCTTTATGTCAGTAGTCAATTTTTGCATTCTTTAAATGAATTATCACATATCAATCTGATTGGTTAATTGTGACATACTTAATCAAAAGTATCCATAGTTGACGACCACGTAGGTATGAATGATCAAATAAGGTGTGCCAGGAATATGTCAAATGGAATTTAAGTTGTTTTTTTTTGTATCGGGGGACTTTTCAAAAGATAACTTGCCTGTTAATGAGAAAGACAGGATTATGTGACATTTCTACAAGAAATACCCCCTCGATGAGCATTTTTAAGTGCTGACATCTTTATAACGTTTGAATAAGGTATATAATCGTATAACACGATGCACCCGACGTAGTATTACATAACACTATACAGATATATACATTTTAACAACGCCCATACACAGTGCATGTTTTTTTTTAATTTTAAATACGAAAATATAATTTAATTTATCATTTAATTAGAGATCAAAACTTACTCTTAACTATACAAAATTCAGTTACGGAGTGGTTTTATTTTTTTTTCGCAATTTTTTTTTAAATAATTTCCGCTACTTACAAACTCTAAGTAGCAACGACCCGTTTCTTAATTTAAAAATAAAATTAACAATTTTAAAATCGAGTTGACAAGGAGCGAATCATTAAAATCCAAAGAGCAAATAAAGCGAATTATTAATAATATTTACTCAACAAATTCTTGTCAGCCCGATTTTTTTTTATTCGATTTACACTTTTTTTGTTGATATTATTGAAACTATAACGATGTATAGTAACAAATTCAAATATTGAATTATTAATGTCGAATTTAAAAATCGATTTTATTATTTAAAATTCGAACATACGACGAATGCGAGTTGTCTTGCTACAATTGAAATATTATCAACAATATGTCGAATTTTTAAAATTATTTAACGTTTTTTTTTTCTGGTGGATAATTTTAATTTATATAATACATAATAAAGTTATCTATATGTTGATCGAAATGTTAAATTCATAATGACACTAATTTAACTGACCTGGAAGTCAAAATTTAAAATAAATTAAGCAATTTATCAGGTTTTTTCTTACTATATTCCACAAACTCACACTCAGAATCAATGCTTACTAATCAACTTCTCATTGTCAATCTACACTAAGTGGTAGATAATTGAAGGATGAATTGGAGCACATAGTTAACGCGTTTATGTATGTGTGTGTAAGAGTTGTGACAGAGTAGGTATGTGAGCACGCAGAGTGCGCGTGCGCAGGCTAGCTCTCAGAAGACGGAGTCTGCGGAGCGCGAGAGATGCACGGGGTGTGAGGGGGAGCGCGCGAGACGTTTGCGCGGCAACTTCTCCAGCGTCGACAGCAGGTGCGGGAAGTCAGGCCGCTCCGCAGACCGGTACGACCAGCACAGCATCAGGATATCCTGGTAACAAACGATTCATTTTGTTGAATAACATACATATCAGATGAGTAAAAATAACTTAAAATTTAGTGACTTCATACATTTTGTAAATTATTATTTTTGACTCGTACATCTTTTCCAAAACTGAATTTTTATTCCTTCGTTTGTTCCTCATTTCAATCTTTTGGTTAGTTCACTATCATTTTAAACTCATGTTAGCTCCAAATAGTTGTTTGTTAACTTACCGTGGGTTTCTGAGACTAGAATCTGTTATTAAACCTTATAATTATCTATGTTTTATCAAAGATGACAGGGAAGACATTATGTTTTCAACATAAATTTTTGCATCTCAGAAACCAAGGGTTAGACTGGTTAAAACATATCGAAGATTTTAATATATGCAGTTATGATTGAATTCTTACTTTAATATCCCTGGAGGCCTGCATGTTGGCTAGCGAAGGTTTGACGCCTTTTCCCACCTGCCAGATGATGGCTTCAGGAGGCTGGCCCTTGAACGGATACTCTCCACAAAGCAGCTCATACCATACGGTACTGAAAAATATCAAAAAACAATTGTAGATTATTCAATAATCTTACTAATATTATAAATAGTAAAGTGGAGATGTATGCATGGATGGATGTTTGTTTGAAAGTATCTTCAGAATTATTGCACAGATCTCGCTGTAATTTGGCATAGATGTAGAACAGTCTGTAAGAAAACATAGACTACTTATTAAGTTTTTTATAACAGCGCGGACAGAGTCGCGGGCGATAGTTAGTTTAAAAATAAATATAGTTACCCGAATGCGTATACGTCGGTGCACTTGGAGAAGGGCAGATGCAGGGAGGCGTGCGGGCGCAGAGCTCGCACCAGCTCGGGCGCCAGGTAGCACAGCCAGCCCGGCGGGATGCCCAGGCTGTCGCCGCGAGCACTGCGCACACGCATGCATACATATACTGTTTGTATGTACTCACACAACGATATCTGGTCTAGTGAGGGGCGCTGCTATCGCACTTAGTAAAAATATATGTAGAATTAACATGTCAATCTTACTAATATTACAAATTCGAATGTTTAAATGGATGGATGGATGGATGTTTGTTATTAGGTGTGTCAAAGTGGCTGCATGGATCTGGATGAAATTTGGTAAAACACTCTCAGGAAGAACAAACAGACTTCTCAAAAACATTTTTTTTTATTTCCGAGCAGAAGGATACCTAGGCAAAAAGCTAATCAGTATATTTTTATGACGTTGGTAAAATTATATTTTTTCATCAGAAAATATTTTAGTTATATTTAAACCAATATCAATAAATTAGTGGCAACACAATCAAAGTTAAATAAAAACTACACAAGTGTACTAACTTGTTGCTAAAGCAAAGCTTGGTGACGCTGAAGAGACCAAAGTCGGTGATCACCACTTTCCCGTTCTCTAGGAATATATTTTTCGTCTTGAGATCCTTATGGAGAATGCCTCGTGCGTGGAGGTATCCCATACCCTGGAATTTTAAAGTACATGATATTTCCTTTCATATACATGACCTACCCTTTCCCATCCATATTCCACTTCCATTCAGCCCTAATCAGAATTATTAAAAGAAGTTTTTTTTTTGTTAATTAAAATACATAAATAAAATCTTTTAAAATGATGGGCGGGGGAAGACAACTCTTATTTGAGACTCCAGCATCAGACTCATCACAGGAAACGCGTTTGTATTTATTGACAATGTCACTCTCAAGGTCAATGTATAATGTATGTGTGTGTGACCTGTGAGATCTGCTGCGCGACGATGACACTCTTGTTGGCGGTGAACTTGTCCTTGCGCAGATGGATGTGCGTGTAGAGCGTCATGCCCTTGCAGAGAGAGGTGACGATGGCCAGCCGCGGCGGCTTCATGCACGCCCCCATGAACAGCACCAGGTTCTCGTGACGAGTCTTACGGAACGTCGCCACCTACAACACAAAAAATAATTTTAAAAACATACAAAATATAACAACATATAATTTTTTTTTTTTTTTTAGTTTGGGATGACACTTTTTACATATTACTATGAATTTTATTTGGTCCCTTTTTGACCCTGAGTACTTACAAAGAAAAGAGCAACCTGTCATGGTTGAAATCTCAATCGGCTCCTTCATTACACACATGAGATTTTTTTTTATATATTTTTCCGCAATGTAGTGGGGTGTTTTATATTTCTATTCAAGCTATATCCAGTCGAACCTGAATAACCGAGAAACCAAGGGACCGCAATATTTATCCCATATAAAAATCGTCCTTCAGGAAACTCTCGCTGGTCCGACTGTAATCCGGTGGTGATGGTGTTACCTCGTGTTTGAAGGTATCAAGCTGTGCGCAGTGATCACTGAGGGAGTGCACGTGCAGCAACTTGACAGCAACAGCGCCGTGCCAGCTGCCGCGGTACACGGTGCCGAACCTCCCCGCACCTATCACCTCGAACAGCTTCAACTCGTCGTACGGGATGTCCCATTCTTTCATAGATAACTGAAACATATTCCAATATACGGTCAACTATTTACTTAGCGAAACATAATTATTGAATAATTCACAGTAAAATTAACTAACCAAAAATTTTATTACAAAACAAAACAAAATACATTGACAAATTAAAAAAAAACTTCCATTTATAAGTTGAAATCTAAATGAAAACTTGTAAAATCATATATAATGATTATTTTTTTTAACCTAAACTTTTTAAAAATATGTTAAAGTAACATACTTCTTCAAACAATCTCCTGCTATGCACGAATGCGTTCATTTTAAAAATCACCAACCTTAAAAAACAAACTAAAAAAGAAAAATAGATAAACTCAAAAGTTTAGACTGGCCACTAATAATTCACTATCTTCATAATACAGATTAAAAACAACACAATACAATAACCACAGAGTAGTGAAAATAGGTAGTTATCTGTATAAAGCTCCGACGAGGAATGAGTCATAGTGAATGTTCATTATCTGAGCGGGCAACCGAGAAATGAACTTCGTTATCACAACTTACAGCTCGCAGACAATTGATTAATTTATTCGTTAAAGTTATCACTAATATAAATTATATACTAGTACTAATAGAATATCAGTGTATTTTAGACAACATGCTTGCACCTAGAAATCGCCCAACAATTTCTATTCATCCATTCTTCCAACATTCGAACGTTCCAGTAGTTATAGAATATGTTGTAGCATTGCCAACTGACCGAGTTCTGTCTGGGCCAGCGCGAATCATGAGAGTTGAGGTCGAGGGAGTCTGCGCGTGCGCCGCCGCCGCTGTCCGTAGAGCCGGAACCACTCAGCGATACGTGTCGCGACCGCTCTGCAATAATATATCCAATATCATTTCATACAAATTTTGTATGCGACGATCTATTAATTTAAAAGTCATCATCATCATCATCATACTCACTATACGTCCACACCGAGGGGCTCGGAGCCTACCCTAAGTTAAGAGTGATTAGGTCATAGTCAACCACGCTGGCCAAGTGCGGGTTGGTTGACTTCACACATATCTTTGAATTTCTACTCAGATATGTGCAGGTTGCATCACGATGTTTTCCTTCGCCGTAAGAACGTCGAATAAATGTACATATGTAAATCGGAAATAGAAAAACACATTGGTACATGGCGGGATTTGAACCCGGGACCTGCAGATTGCAAGTCTTGAACCCTGAGCCATCGACGCTCTATTTAAAAGTATTCGAATCGAATTACAGTCAGTTTTTACTTATTTGTAAGCAATTGTACAACTTACCACTTTTAATACTAGAGGTGAGATCATCTTTGTTATCTGGTGCGGCCCTCACAGGAGATTGCACTACGGAATTATGGTTCGGACTGGACACTGGCGGCTTTACTTCTGCGACAAAAAGTTGTTTTTGACTTGGCAAGAAAAAAGTAATGTAATGAAAAAATATTTACAAATATGTGTGAAGTTATACAAAGACAAGACAGTCTGAACCCGTCAGCAAGTCCAATTAAATAAGAACAGCTCACTAGCGCCCCCTCTGTCAATGTCAAAAAATGTCACAAGCTCCTGTTTGCACATCAATTTCTATGTCAAAGTAGCTTTTTTATTTATAACAGAAGGTGGCAAACGAGCAGCGGGAACACCGAGGTGTTCAAATAATGCTTTAATTGGTGCTTTTAATATATTCTGACAGAACCAACCATGATAACAGCATGATATGATATGACATGATAATAGTGCATACACTCACCAGGGAAATGGAACTGCTGCTGCTTGTTGTTTGGCGCGTGCGCGTTGTGCGTGTGGACATGCGCGTGCGCGTGGTGCGCGTGCTGCGGGGTGGCGGGCGCGGCGAGGGCGGGCGAGGAGGGCGTCGAGCTGTTGCACGATGACGTGTTCGATGACGAGTCCGGCCCGCCCTGGGGGACACATAACTTTATAAAATGTAGTCAAATAAAAAAAACGTTAAATATAAAAAAAACAAATTTAAAAACAATATAAATTCAACTTGGCATGATCTAAAAGTAATATGCAATATTTTATGGACAATCTTTTCACCCTTAACATAATCAAGCTGCAAGTGTAGCGACAACGTCCTACCACTTGAAAGTGTTTGACACATTTCTTTGTGTAACCTGGAGCCACATTGTAATGTATGGGGTTGGATGGGATGGTGTAAATACTCACAGAGTAATGTCGTGGTTGCGGCGGCTGTCGACGTCGTCGCGGGCGACTAGTGAGCGAAGCCAGGAAGCCCGCAGTCTTACCGCTTGGTGACGCGCACAAGTACGATCCGCCTGCCGGTAACACGAACACAAAATATTTAAAAAATTTGCTTTAAACATTTTATTACATAAATGAATACATCCAATATATAATGAAGCTATATAATTATGTACCACTCACCGTCTTTATGAAATTGTTCTTTAAAAGCAGAAACAAAACCGGCCGGCAAACCGCACGACGGAGGAACTTTACTTTCACAGTCTCTGGAATAGAAACATTACCATAAATAACTGCCTAAAACACACACATACACAGTAATTAATGCTGACTAGAATTGACAAAATATAAGAAAAAACAGACATCAATTGCTAACTTTTCACCGTCTAAATAATTAGTAGTCCATATTTTAGTGTGTGCTAATTAGTTTATTTTAGACAAACCAAATCATATCTTAGATTACATCTTACTAACAATATAAATTCGAATGTTGTATTCGTTTGAAGGTATCTCCACATCATCTGAACGGATCTCGCTGAAATTTGGCATACATATAGAACATAGTCTAGAAGAACACATAAACTACGAATTATGTTTTTTATAATCCCGCGCGGACGGAGTCGCGGGCGACAGCTAGTATGTTATAAAATAGTAAAATATGACGTGACATACCGGTGGCATTTAAACTTGCACTCTTTACACTTGAGTCCTGAACCGAAGAGCATCTGTTTATCGCAGTAGTCGCATGTCGCGATCATATTGAATGTCTTTGTGAAGCGATGCGCGATGTCGTGCGCCATGCAGCGCCCCACTGTCGGAGTACGCGGAGACCGAGGCGCTGTTGTCCCGCTACCAACAATCTGGATACAGGTAAATATTTAAAACAAATCTCTTATTGAGAAATATACTTTGATAAATGTTATCTAATAAATACATTGACGACCACATTTTTTTTAAATCATAAGGTGGCAAACAACGGTCTCGTGAATTTACTAAAATAGAGAAGAAAGTGCTGCCCATAAAAATCCCCAATTAGTGGAGAAGGGAACGCATCATCGTTGTTATCAGCTCACTATACCTTCCCACCGAGGGGATCGAAACCTACCCTAAGTTAGGGGTGACAAGGCCATAGTCAACCACGCTAGCCCAATGGGGGTTGCTTGACTAACTGGTAACGCATATAAAGAGGAATTACCTCTTCATGTGCATTTCCTCCTCCATACACTAATTGACAGTATTGTACCCATTTATACAAGAATGTGGTGTTTATGTGTATACTGACGGTATTGTTGCAGTGGGGGGGCGGGTGGTACGCGGTGTGCACGAGGCGTTGCGGCGTGCTGTCGGCGTCATCCCGCGGCGAGCCGGGCGGGCTGCCCTCCGCATTCTCCGCACCCTCCGTAGCATCCCGAGCTGATGACTGACTGTTGTCACTGCAATTATTGAGTAAAACATTTTGGTCCTTCGAGCTGGATTATTAAATTTTGCTTTATTATTATATTTGTATTTATGAATTAAGTAAGTAATGATGATAGTCTGCATGCATAATATAAAAATTTTCACCTAAGGTCTGAGGCGTCAGGTCTGACGGAGAGCTGTGACTCGTGCGAGCGGGACTTGGTGAGTGCGGCGGGCGCGGGCAGGTGAGAGTTCTGCTTGCGCTTGCTCACCGGCGTCGTCGGGGACTTGCCGCCTGCAATATATTCATATTATTAACTATGCTTAAATTGCAAATAATCGACAAATTATGATAACATGAGAAAAAATACGGAACGAAAAATCAAATGAGTTGTTTAAAATTTTGTAAAATGTCTATTGAATTGTTTATTGTTGGAAATAAGACGACAGTTGTGGAAATTGGATATCTGCAGCAGATAGAATAGTATTTTAGTCTCTTACCTCCCCACAGTAAACAAATATAATTGCTGTTAATAATTATAACGTAATGCTGTCGTTACATCGGTCGATGCATGCTCCCACTATAAAACAATCATATAAGCTTGCCCTAAAAAGATATTTAGAATATGTGTCTACAAACAGACTAGATAGAATAGACAGATCGAAGCCTCAATAGCCTAATGGTTAAGGGTACAGGTTTCCGATCACGAGGTTGGGGGTTTGAATCCCACCATTAGGCTTCGGCAGCTTAGTTGGAATGATACAAGAAATAATAGTTAATTAACAAAAACCTGGTAATATTTAAAGAAAAAGATTATTAATTTATAATTTTATTAAATAACTTTAGTCATTCAGGTATGATTTCTTTGATAAAATCTGTTCAAATGAAAGTATCATACCTTTCCTAGGCCTGGGCGAGGAGCGCGCGTGTCTCTCCCACGAGTCCCAGTACAGAGGCAGCTCCGCAGCGCCCTCACCTCGCGCCAGCGCCTCTGCACACAAACATTCATTGTTAACACAAATAAACCTAACTTTTATACAATACTATTTTTACTATATAAGGATATATTTCAGAGTAATTGTACTAGGAATGCATCAATATTAGCGTATGTATTTATGTCATTTCGTTACAATTCAGATTAAACATTTGAGAACTTGTTACTACAATCTATAAGCAATGTACTAGGAGCGTAGAATTGACCTGTGTATGTGCGCAGACGCTGCATGGCGCGGCATAGTCGGCGCAGCTCCTCGTCCCGCGCGGCCGCCAGCAGCGCGCGCAGCTCGTGGTCGGAGCGCTCGCGCAGAGCCTCCAGTGTCGCGACGCGAGAACATACCGCCTACATATAGATACAAGGATTTATAATGTAAAGATTTACAGAGAGAAAAGGAGAGCGAGAGAGTTATTCGATGTATTGATGATAGTATTGATAGTATACCTCGATGGCATGTGGACTGAGGCCGACAACTCGCAGCCACTGCGCCAGACACGGTACATCACCTAACTCGCGCTGCAGCTCCTCCCCAAACTGCGCCTTGAATACCAGCTGCCGGGAGAAGTGCTTCACTAGCTTGCCCTGAAACATACATGTGTCCCCATTTTATGAAACGCGAGACTATTCTATACTTAAGAAAGCATTGAAGCATTATATGATTTATTATAATATTTCGTAATTGTCTTTTTGGTTTTTGTGCTAAGACTTTCTTCTTATTGTTATTGTAGAAATCTTACTAGAATAATAGTAAAAATAAATTAGTAGAATCAGGAAACCAGGATCGTGCTGAACAAAAATTCATTATTTTGTTAAATATATGTCTCATTATTTATTGTTGAATAAGATATGAATTGTCGTATAGTATAAATAAATAACGATAGGACACTGGCTAGCGGTGTCATTGCACAATAAGGCGTGAAACAAGTGGACTGAGTGCAGAACAATAGCGCGTTACTCATACCCGCGTCACTGCGTGTATCCTGCATCTATCGTATTAAATCCTGTCCATTAACTGTTAGGGATTAGGGTTGGCAATTTTCAGTAAACCTCACAAACATCGATGCCAAACCCGTTATCCGAATATGCACCATGTAAACTCTAGGTCAAAGCAGAAGGTGACCGCACTATTATGAATACTCTACTTTCTAACTGACATCAAAATTATGAGGCTCAATTCGTCGCTATGTTTTTTTTTTATCCAAAGCAACGATAAAATAGAAATTTACACAATATTGTAATTTGTACGCGTAATTATATAATCTCACTAGCGGACCCGACAGACGTTGTCCTGTCTACACGTCTTTAATTTGAAAATTTGACACTGCGATGGTAGCGCCGTCTGTCGGATCCAATGTAAAACATTCCAAAATCAACAACTACTAATAAATTAAAAATTATTAAAAAAAACATTGTCCAGCAGACAAAATTGTGAATCTGAACCATTCCCAGATCCCCTTGAACACACACAATAAATTTCATCAAAATCGGTCCAGTCGTTTGAGAGAAGTGCAGTGACATACACACTCACAGAAGAATTATATATATATAAAGATTTAGTAAACATCTTGAGATAGAATCATGTACCAAATAGTGGATAAATAATATTCTGGTAGTGCAGCGGCTCAAATGATTTGTTGGAAATTGCTCGTAACGACGTAAAATCAATTTGAATTCGTAACTACAATCAGTATCAGCCACCATTGATATGCCTCCAATAAATCCATATAATTTGCAATGATTGAAGTGGCATTATACAATTTAATTCTAAACATCTTTAATAGAAACCTATCTTGCATTTTAGGAATATAATCTTACTAATAATAAATGTCGGTGGCTCAGTGGTTTCAGCACTTGACTTGTAATCTGCAGGTCCTGGGTTCGAATCCCGCCATGTACCAATGTGTTTTCGATTTACATATGTATATTTATCCGACGTTCTTACGGTGAAGGAAAACATCGTGATGCAACCTGCACATCCAAGAAGAAATTCAAAGATATGTGTGAAGTCAACCAACCTGCACTTGGCCAGCGTGGTTGACTATGGCCTAGTCACCCTTAACTTAGGGTAGGCTCCGAGCCCCTCGGTGGGGACATATAGTGAGCTGATGATGATGATGATGAATAATAAATGGATGGATGTTTGTCGACCAAACGGATCTCTATGTAATATGTCATAGATGTAGAACATAGTCTATAAGAACACATAGGGTACTGATTAAGTATTTAATTACGCGCGGCTGGAGTCGCGGGCGACAGCTAGTATCTCAATATTGTATATACTTATGTTTTTTTCATTTCATACGTTATATTTTCGGTACATTTCAAATCTGAGTCATGGGGGACATTCTTATGTTATCAAGATGTCTAGATAAAATCATATGTGAGTTGTATTTGCACAAAACTTAGTGCCTTAGTGCCTAATCTTATGTTAGAAGTAATAATGTGTTTAAATCTTTATTATTCATCCTGTTGTTATAATTATTTTCCACTTAAGAACTCGGAGTAGTGAATGCAACACTGCAAAGTCAGACAAATAGCGGTTTAGTGGAAAATAGTTTTAAGGGACATGTATACAAAAATTAACATTCATATCCAAGTTTCCTCTGTATTGTATTTTATTGTGACCAGAACTTCTTTTCATGAAAGATTTCCCTTGAGTAGATCTTGAGTGAAGCTTGTTTAAAACATTAGTAAAACAAATGATGCTTGTACTTGTGAATATCAGTGTATATTAAAGGATGCTATACAAGTTTCCAAGTTTTTAATTTATACAAATACTAGATGTCGCTGACAACTCCGTCCATGCGGAAGACTATGTTCTATATGTGTGCCAAAACTCATCGAAATCTATTCAAACATTCTGAAGATATTACAAAGAGATATATCAGTTTATTTTGGAAATACCTTCAAACTAATTTCCATTGATCCATCCATCCAACTAAACATTCACATTTATAATATTAGTAAGATTGGTTACAATGCACTTGTTGACAAGAGAGGGTCAAACTCCAGAATAACTGTGAAAAGTGATGCATTATCTCACCCTTCAGTTTCTTCCAGAGGCAATGCTTCTTATAAATGTTTCCTTGAATGAGATTGAATAAAGGACAAAGATTTCTTTTTAAAGTTTGATTTCTCTAATCTTATTATTTATTAAAGCTTTTGGTGTATCTTTCACACTAAATATTTCCGAGTCAATGGTAATAACAATCATGGCATTCACATATGTGAGGGTAATGACCAACTACTGAGTTTTGTTTTCAAAATGGTAAATAGATTAAATATACATAAACAAATATTAATTAAATTAATATTACATTATAGTAAAATATAAGTTAATCTTTATTATAATAATATTTAAGCCCCATTTTACACAAATTTAAGATAGATAAAATTTGTATGAAGATGAAGTGAATAAATTATTTTTAATTAAAAAAAAACAAAATTTGATTAGGAATTATGTTTGAAATTCAGCCAATGATGATCAATAATTTAGAAACTAGAACTTATCAGTGTATATATTTAATTTGTTGTTATTTCTGGAGAACTGCTATTGTTAAACTGGATAGGGAATATGTGTTCACATTCCAAAACATATACTTAATTCTAGATGAATATAGGAAACTGTAATATATATTTATGTAATTCTAATAAAATAAATCATTTATTTATTCTCATTTGCAAATAGCATTTTACATTTGTCTATGTTAAGTGAATAATACAAAACTAACTAACAAAAAACATTTCATTTCTATTAATTTCGTAAGTATAAAAACTTCCGTTAGTAACAAAACTTGTAAAACCTCCGATAGGATAGACAACCTGCTTAGCGGCGTGAAATCGACTAAATACATACTTGATCGAGGGTGCGCGTCGAATCGAACGTACTTTCTACTCAACCAAGCTGAGTGAGTAAAACGAAGTCATCAGGCCGGGCCTTGGAAGTGTTTCAAGGGCACATCTTGTTTCCACGACATATTACAAACGGTATATGAGAAGTATTCCTACCTCTAACGTCCGAATCTCCTGCTGTGTAAGCTCCGCACTTGTAGAACATTGCGTCCGTAAACCTTCAAGCCTATCCGCTGAAACGTCGATCATAGACTGAATGGTCTCAATCATCTGTATTGCATCACGAGCTCTCTTTATTTCGTACTCGCTCTCCGCATCCATTACAAATATCACAGCACTATACACAAGCCACTAATCACTACTTATAAGTAAAAAACTCTATATTCATTATAAAAAATGAATTTGAATATACAAAACATTGCAGGTGTTGTATTGCCGATACAGCGGCCATGTCCGAAGAAAATCTATATTTTTGTCTATGCCTAATATGTTTCATAGACTATTTTGACAGCTGTCCGGAGACAATGGCAACACCGTGGAATAGTGATGAGCTACCTATGTGGGAGTCCGATTAGAAAATCCACCGCAAACGTTATGTTTTGTTTTTGAAATTGTGTTTTTACGTGTAATCGTTTATGTAACAACATTTTTAAACATCATCATAGCAAATTTTAAGATAAGATTCTGTCTTTCTAATTATTCTATAGGGTTTTGATGAATTTATGTATAACTTTAAGAATGTTAAAATAGAGGATTAAACAGAAACACAAATACATAAACTTGAAAATTTTAATTCAAAATTAACCAATCCAATTATTTACAAAATATTGTTTCGATTAATTTACAGACCAGCAAGTCCATCACTATTTCCGTTGAAGTACAAGCAAGAAAAATTCGAGCGGACCATTTGTGACATTTAATTTTTTTTAGTCTATGACTTATATCAATGAGGGGCAGACGTTTGTTGTGAGATTTGTTTCCTAATATTTCGTCTATCGTCGTGATATATTTCTGTGTAATGTAATTAAATTAGTTAGATTTTAAAATCTTTTTTATTTTACAATACATAGAGATTCTGTTCGATTTTAGAATTTAAATGTAGACATTTTAGGATGTATCTTAAACGTGTATTGGTGCCTCTATTCTGCCTTGGATTAGAAGGTAAATAATTTAAAATTCGATGAACCGCGTGTTTTTATGTATTTACGAATAATAATAGTGGCGTATGTTTTTTTTAGTTTTGGCGCCGGTGGTCGCTGACCAGGTTGAAATTCGCGAAGTAGCCGCTGATAAGGGTACTAACGTAACAATACCTTGTGGTGATTTACAAGAAAATACTTCTAATGTCCAGTGGGTGCACCGAGGCAACCGTACTCACCACACAGTGCTGGTAAGTTTCTTTCCCTCCGATTAGGTAACATTATTACGTATTTTAAACATAGATATTTAGGCCAAAAAAAATCTTTAATGTTCCGCATAATATGATTACTTGTATTTAAAGTAACGTTATTTATTTTTTTAAATAAATATTTTAGCAGCGATTTTTCATTTAATCAAGAATCAAAAAAAAATTATAATCATTTAATTTATATTTTTTCGATTAGGCTTACATCACACAAAATCGTTATTTCTCTTAAATTTTCGTGATTTTTTTTTAATTGTCTAGTAGGAATCTCCTTAGGTAGGTTCTTAAATTCAAAAGGCTCTAGAACTCGCAAAAGCAACACTTGAATAAACATAATATTAAATATATTATACACCACACATCATATTGTAAAGTTTTACAGAAGTTTTCAAAAATAATTACTGAAAAGTTCCGGGTGATTTTTATTCACAAATAAAAAGAAAAATATTTTTTCAAACTATCATAACTGTTAATCATACTCGTCGTGGATATAACAGCAATGTATCAATATATTTTTTTAATATTTATCCTACAACCTAGGAACCACTGTTAAAACATACCAAAACGACATGTAAAAAAATTTCCTTGCCTTCCATAAAACTTACTCTAAAAAACTATCTTTGTTGACTATACATTTCCATCCCTAACTAATATACTAGGGGAATAATCACGGGATGTTACATTTCTCTACTTCGACTCTTAAACGACTCTTACTTCTTACTATAATAATATTATAAATGTCATTGTTTAGATGAATGGATGTTTGTTTGTAGGTATCTAGCTAAACGGATCTCGATGAAATGGCACAATAAAAAACAGCCTGGAAGACACATAGGCTTATTTATTATTTTTTTATTAATAATTCCGCGCGGACGAAGTCGCAGCTACCGCTAATGATAAACAAAATATTGAACTATTTAAACATTAGTGATGTAAAATGTAATACTCTTCTTTGAGATACAAATAACATTCTATTTACAAACAACCATTTATTCCAAACAAAATGCAAGCAAAGTAAACATTGTGAATGCGGTACCATACATTACAAACGACGTTTATAATGGCCGTTGAATTTGACGATCCGTGAATTAAAGCCTGCGGAAAAATTCACACAGACGACCTATTTTAAAGCGTGATAAAAGTACATCTGGTTAGTGAGCTTAAACTGAATACTACACAGAGATGACACTAGACGACGACCTCGCACAAAGCGGACCTTGTGGAATTACCCGCTAATTAAACCACCGGTCTATACTTTCTTTGTTATATAGCTTTTGATAAAACCTTTATGATGTTTTCAAGAATGCGACCTACCGTTTCTGAGACTAAAATCTCTGTAAAACATATCGTCATACAGAGTTAATTTAAACGGATATTTCGGTCTCAGAAACCCACAGCGAGAGCTTCAAACGAAATCTTTTTATTTTCTCTATGGATTGTAGTCAATGTATCTACTATTACATACATTTAAACATATTGTAAATTTTTCATGTAATCTCGAAACTATCATTAAACCCGTGTTGTTTGTTGTCATAACTGTATTAATAAACTCCAGAAGAAACTAGTAGCAAGAGAGATAATGAGATTAATATTAGTGACTTGTCTCTTATTTTGTCCCGAAGTAATGGACGTCAAAACTGTAGTCAGAATATGCAACAGCTCTGATAATTTGGGCCAAAACCAAAGAGATATAGCAGTCATATGAACCAGGACTTGGTTACTGACAGATTTATTCGACCTTCTAAAACGCAATTAAAATTTACAGTTAACCTGTAAATTTGTAAAAACCGCACTTGTAAATATTTTCAACGCGAAAAAGTTTATCCACTCTTACTTTGATGCGCTAGAATTTTTTTTAATTAATACCCTAACCTCTCGTAGTTGGGGCGCGGTTAGCGGCCTAACTATTCACTCGAGTATCACGCCGCCTGAAGTTTTCTCATCTGCATATATTGACATACATTTTGAAGCAATCAGTAGTCAGCGACGATACTCTACTGCCACTCCGCATGCTAAGCGATACAGTTTTTAAACTCAATCCATATTATATAGAGTTCTACCTGTCGCCCGCGACTCCGTCCGCGTGGATATATAAAAAACTTAATTAGTGTAGCCCACCCATCCATCCATCCACATCATATCCATCTAAACATTCGCATTTATAATATTAGTAAGTTAAATAAAAAGCAGCTCTTCAAGGCATAAATTGGAAAAAAAATGAATAAATAGTATCCTATGTCCGTCTCCTGGCTCTAAGCTCTCACCAATTTTCAACCATATCTTTAAAGTCGTTCTTGAGTTATAAATAGTGTAACAAACACGACTTTTACATATATATATATATATATATATATATATAGATTAGAACATTACATTTAGATGATTAAATGCAAAGGTAGTTGCGATGCCTGCCTTTATTCGACGGAAGAGTAGACCTCTTCCTAAGCGTCCCCTCCTCCAACAAATCCAATTCAACTATCCTTTCCTTATAAGAAAAGGATGTGAAACAATTTAACTCTGATTAATTAAAATCTGATGGGTGGGCGTTCCATGCCTGGAACGCCCACCCATCAGATTAAACGCGGAATTATTAACCGCCTGTCTTCTGTGAGGTCGTGGTATTGCACAGAGCGAGCGGACCCATTCTTGCAACAGATGTTTTTGTTGGAGTCTACCATTGTAAATTTACCTACAGCGTTTGATTGCTACACTCTTATATATTATTTGTGTAATGAACTGGTATTTAATAGGATCACATGTTTTTTTTTTATATCATAAGGTGGCAAACGAGCGAGCGGTCACCTGAAATCGCTGAAATAGCGAAGCGACCGTTACCCATAGACATGCGCAATTGCATATGCGTTGCCTACCTTTAATCGACGGAGGAGAGGATGCACAGAAAGAAAATATTTTCCCTTTCCATGCATCCTCTCATCCGGAAAGTCAACTTCCACTTCCCATCCTTTCCTTATAAGAAAAAGAGTGGGAAGGGAAAGAGGACTAATTTTGGCATCCGGGACGCACACTCAGACGAAACGCTGAATTGCTTCCACTTCACGCCTGTCTTCTGTGTGGTCGTGTTATTTCACCGGGCGAGCCGGACCGATTCGTGCGAAGATGTTAAAGCGGGCTCTAATAATCAGGCTTTTATCCTGGATACATAATAAAATACGTCCTTGATTTAAACACAAAATATTTTCACTATCATTACTCTAATCAAGGCATTTATTGTGGTTATTTTTAGTTGTCTGCCTCTTAGATGATAACGGATCAGTCGTTTTATGAATTCCGATAAGACGTCCATTCAAACGTAGAGTATAATAAAATTAACAGACATGTGCAGTGGGGACTGCGTATGTCAGGACATCTCAGCTCCCTCTCAACTATAAATAGAGGATATTTGTCCGAATTAAGACATCGTCCAATTCGCGTTTACGAGCGTCCGTAAGACTAGTTTCACACACAGGTCGTCAATGCCTTACCTACTGCTACTGTTTGAACACAAAGCATAGTACAATTTTGAAACAATTGCAATTAATCAGTGCCTTAGTGCTCGGCTTCATTGTTCTGCCCTTGTGTGAAACTACCATAAATACGAGGAGAAGACTTGTTAGTACGTCGTGTGGGCAACTAGTGAGGGCGGAACTTTGCGAACAGATTACATTGTGGTTTAAGTAAGGTTTAGCAAAGATATGATGTCAAACATGTTGTGATAACAATAGTTTCCTGTAAAATATTAAGACGTTTCGAACTATTCATTTTAAGGGACACATTTCTTATGTGTCCCTTAAAATGTGTACTTGGCGATCTAATTAATCTAGATCTAGCCTTTTTCAAATTCATTACAATATAATTTGAAAATTCGTTCGTTACGAAGTTATTCAGAAAAAGGATCTTGACAGGCAGACGGACGGTCAACAAAGTGATCCTATAAGGGTTCCGTTTTTTCCTATGAGGTACGGAACCCTAAAAATAGCAATTTTTTAAAACAAATAAATGTGGTTCGACAGTAAACCACAGAGAGATGAAGTCCTACTTGACAACTCATTGGACTTGGCCTATAGAGATGATTACGCACGTGGTTAACCGCAATCCTCGTGCCATAGTGCATAGTACTTAGATGTAAAGCAACTAATTTTAATTAAATAATTTATTTCTTGGATTTGGTAAAAAATGACTAAAAGTTATGTTAAGCTCTGCCTTTCATAAACAAGATTTTAAAAAAAATTGGTCGATTTTTATTAATTTCGTAACAAATGCTTTTGTCACAAAGTCGTGCGATGACAACTACATACAAACATGTATTTGAAGCTTATGTTTATACCTAAATTGTATTAAAGTATCAAGGAAATATTTATTCTGAACCTTTATAATACAAACCAACAAGATATGTAATATTTTTAGGTAAATGTTTTGTGATTATAATCAGCTGCATTGTCTTCATTGGAAAAACAATTGCAATATACAATTGCCACTGTACAACTGGTATAAACAAAAGGCGGAGTCGTTAAAATTCTATCTGTCTCACTCCCTTGTTCCCCGTACGACAGAGTAAGTATATTTGGACGCTAGAACGTTGATTATCCAAATGAATACCAGTTCGGTTCAGATTTGGTCGAGGCCGTGCGCGGGAACATTTCGCGGATGGATACAGATGATAAAAAAACACAATCTAGCTTTCGATGTCCAATGACAATCGACACGTAATAGGCCGCCAATTTGAAAGCCATTAAGGCAATTTGAAATTGAACGTTGGTGTCTGCAATGGGTTAATTTTGTCTTCACTGTGTCTGAAAACCCGTTTTTATATCAATGAAACGTTGATTACATAATGGATCTAAAGATCTATATTTAGGTTTTTTGCGATGCATCAAGTTGTTTTATAGATGCGTTATATTTTATTTCATCATCTTCATCAGCTAACTATACGTCCCGACCGAGGGGCTCGAAGCCTACCCTAAGTTAAGGGTGATTAGGTCATAGTC